ATACAGGACTTGAAATGTGTACTCGTACATACGTGAAGTTTAATGTCTCACAAAACTTAGTATAAAACAGATTTACGTGTGAGAATGTTCGTTTGTTATTGTATATGAAAGTAGCTTCTTGAAATAGTATTTCCATGTATGTAAAAGTTCGTAGTATTCTCGTAAAACTATACCTATTATAGTTTCCTAAAAGTATGTTTCGTTTGTATAATAAACCCTTAGTGAAAATGCTCACTTGTTATGAAAAGTATAGTTTTTGTAGTGCCAAAACCGACACACATAAATATAGTATAAGCAGAGTGTCTGATTTACATAAATACATAAATCATTTCTTATTTCAAAAGATAAAATGTTGTCGTGGTATAATTTGCATATGAAAGTTTCCCTATAATAGTTATAAATCACATATGATTTCGTTGATAAAACGCGTATAGTGAAACTTTATATAACACACAATAATAATCGAGTGTTTTACTAGTATTCCCCCCCCCCCCAATATCATATAAAAGTACTCATAAAATATTTAAAAGTGTGAATTATAGGGGTATGAACTCACTTGAAAGATCGGAAGAGGCGGGATGAAAACTTGACAAAATTTCGACTCGAGAAAGCGGATTTTCCTGGGATTCTCGGGAATCTCGGGAGCACAAACGACCCTTGGGACTTGAGCAATGTGACCGGGACTTCGGGATAGCACGGGCACAGAAAACAAGGAAAAAACGCAAGGGAAATGAGAGAGAAAGGCCCTTTTCTTCGGAACCCTCGCATCCCTTTTATAGGGGGTGTAACCGCCCTCGTACGCGGGGCGTACTCGTGCGTCACGCATGCGCGCATCCTCGACTGCTTCGGACTCCGGATGGGACGTGACATAGCTCGCATAGGGTGTGATGTGGACGATCCGAGGCCAAGGCCTCGAGTACGTTGGGCGTACCCGTGTACGCTGGGCGTACTCGCGTGACTCAGCCTTCGGATAATACCGAAGTTTTCATAAAAAAAATATATTTAATATTCAATAAACTTCAACAATTCATATCTTCTTCATACGAACTCTGTTTTCGACGTTCTTTATATCCACGCGTAGTTGAGACCATACTCTACAACTTTCGTTTAGATCCCGTCGGCAAATTTTGAAATTATTTTTATTATTTATTTTTAAAAAGTCGCGGTAAGAAAATTTCTTTAAAAATTCATAATTTCATTATCTGACGTCTGTTTTTGCCAGACTTTTTACCGTTGAAAAACCATTGACGAGACCTTCGATTCTCGTTTAGGTCATCCTGGTCAAAAGTTGCTCGATCTCTGTTTCGAGTTTTTAACTGTCCGTTGCTAAGCCGAACTTGGAAAATTCCTAACTTTCTTATACGAAGTCGGATTTGGGCGTTCTTTTTACGTACGATAACGGTTTATTGACATCTAACATAATAGGTAATTTAATTAGTGATTTTTGGATATTTTATTTTCGAAGTTAATTTCATTATAACGAACGTGGTTACAATACTTGACTTTTTAGGTCGTTTACATATAGTTGAAATATCCTGTTGTCACACTATTTCCCGACTGCCTTACACCACCACGAGAAGTGGCTTTGACCGGAGTACGTAACAGGTCGAGCTCGCGATGACTTGGTGATTTATGGACGCAAGTTATTAGGCAGGAATCAGGGAGACTCGCCAACACCGTGAAGTGGTTGTTGTTATCGCAAATGCTGCCTGTCACCGTCGATCTCACGCCACTGCTTTCGTTAGGGTGTTATCGCCGTCGTGTTGGGTTTGTTTTCTGAGCAAAGGTTGTTGGTTGGTGTGTGTGTGTGTGTGCTTGACTGGAAACCACAAGAAATCACCGCCACCACCGTGAGGTGGTGGCTGCCGCCATGAACCGTCGTGGATGTGTGTGTTTAGTAGGCGTGTGCGTTTTTATTTGAGTTTTAAGCATTGTAAAGTGTATTGCAAAATGTAATAATGAAAGGAAATACAAAACCACCACCTTAGGGTGGTGGCTGCCGTCACCGGTCGCCGTGTCGGATGGCGGTGCGCTTTGCCTCTTGTGATAGATTTGTTTGGGGTGCTAGAAACCCTAATTGGCTCAAAGGAGCTCTAATGGGCCCAATGAAGCTTAATGGACTCTAATGGACCCAATTAAACCCATATGGGCTTAATAAGATTTTAGTGGGCTTATTAGGCCCAATAAAGCCCTAATTGTCATAAAAGGCCAACAAATTGATAAATGGGCTAATATTTGGATTGGAACACCCTAATGCCAATGAAAATCTAACTTTAAGAATTAATGGGGTCACACACACGAGAATTATTTAATAACTTGAGATATTAAATAATAATCATTGGTAAAGATTAATCTAAGCAATATTGGACTTAATGGATTAAGTCCATAATGGATTAAGTCCTTAATGGGTTAAGTAGGAAACTTAACCCTAATCATCATTTTATGTGAAACCCTAATTTCACTTGGATTTATTATTGGACCTTTCATTTGGGCCTTGATGATTGGATTATAAATGGGCCATCCAAGATCAAGCAAATGGACTAGAATAATTAATGGGCTTTGTGGTAAGGCCCATATGAGGATTTGGGCCCAATTTGGAAATTGGTCCATAGATGGACCATAGTTTAGGCCTTTATGATTATGTGATATTGGGCCATTATAATGTTGAATGTTGGACTGGACTAAATGGTTGGGCCTTATGGTAAGACCTTGTAAGGGTTTGGGCCCAATTTAGAAAATTGGGCCATATGTCAGGCTTTGATTCCTAGTTGGCTTTGGGCCTATGGATTGGGCCTTGTTGGGCTTAAATAAGCCAAGCCTAGGGTAATGTAGTAATTATTCAAGTATGTATTATGGTTATGTGTTGGGACCCAATTATTAATTGGGTGGTATTTTGGTGTTGATAGTTTGGGAATCTATCAACCAATAGCTAGGGCTCAGCCTGCGGGACTTCAGCAGTGTGGGATTGTGTCTTCGGGACTTCAGCAGTGTGAGGTGAGTTACCTTCCAGTAGTGGTGGGTCTACGGCCACAATGTCGGCCTACTAGTATGAGTTGTATGTTAGATGATTGTCTTTGTGATATCATCTAGGTTTGCTACTACCTGATATGTTATGTGCTGGCATGATATGTTATATGCGATAGCAGTAGAGTTCGGTTGTTCGGACCGAAGGGTAAGTCAGGCACCCCAGATATGTCCGACAATATGTGATTATATGTTTATATGATGGCATGATATGTTATATGTGATAGCGGTAGTAGGAGGGGAATAGTCCCTAAGTTCCGTTGTTAGGACCGAAGGGTAGTTCGGACACCCCATATATGTCTGATAGTATGTTATATTATGATATATGTGATAGTAGTAGGGGGTGGAATAGTTATATGTGATAGCGGTAGTAGGAGGGGAATAGTCCCTAAGTTCCGTTGTTAGGACCGAAGGGTAGTTCGGACACCCCATATACGTCTGATAGTATGTTATATTATGATATATGTGATAGTAGTAGTAGGGGGTGGAATAGTCCCCGAGGGTCGGTTGTTAGGACTGACGGGTAGGTCAGCACCACAGAATGGCTTGACGCAGGTAGGACGGCACCCTAGAATGGCCGCACGGGTAGGTCGGCACCCCAAAATGGTCATACGGGTAGGTCGGCACCCCAGAACAGCCGTACCGGGTAGGTCGGGCACCCCAGAATTGCCCGACGGTATGTATGCTTTGTGATTGTATGGTATGTGGTATGATGGGGGAACTCACTAAGCTTTGTGCTTACGGTTTTTAGTTTTGGTTTCAGGTACTTCGTGTTTAAAGGAAATGAGTCGGCTTGATCATAGCGCATCACACTACATTTTCCGCACATGAGATCTTTGGGGATTACACTCTGATATGGTTTTATGATAATATGTTTCGATTACTGATATCATGGTTTGACACGAGATATTATTATGAACGTTTTTATTCTGTTGGTTTTATGTAACAACTTATTTAAAAATGAAATTTTTGGCCTTGAATTTTAGGACGTTACAATGTGTGTGTGTGTGTGTGTTTGTAAGAAAGACAGAGAAGGAGAGAGAGAAGAGAGAGAGAGAGAGAGAGAGAGAGAGAGAGAGAGAAGTGGCTCCCCTCTTATTAAATAATGATTTACATTTACAGAAAATGAAAGAAAAACAGATGATAAATATTGAATGTTATTAAAGTCATTTCAGTTTATCGATGGACCATTTCCACATAGAAACTAGACGAAAATGATCATGAAACCAAAAAAAGTCGACTAAAACTCAGAAAAAATGCATCCAATAGAAATCATTTTTTTCAGTTTTGTCAAACTATTATAATATGTTTATTAATATTGTTAGTACTATTACTATTATTGTTGCACCTAGTGTTACTATACTAAAGGTGAGTTGCATAATGTATGTTAATAGCTATGGTTTTCTTTCAAATGTTTCATTTGTTATATAAGTGGTTGCTAAAATATAGTTTTGTTGCATAGATCATCCTTTAACCGCTTAATTTTAAGATGCAATTTATATAAAGTTGATGATAAATAACCTTTTTGTCATCAATCATGAGCTCCTCCGTTCCTTTTATCTATTTCCCCTCTCATCTTCTCAACATGAAACCTTAAATAAAACCAACGCCTAAGCAATTATCACAGTTAGGAAAGTTATGGACATGAAGCCTCATATATAAAGTAATCATCATGCACCTTCAAATCAACGTTTATTTGCTTGTTTTCAACAAAGGAACCCAATGAATATGCCATTGTATATGGTAATTTTAATGACTAAATCTTTATCACGGCTAAAATGAACTCCAATACGCAATATGCATACTTTTGCATACATTGTGTAAAATCTATTGGTAACTTGTATTTGTGTTTTTATTTATTCGCAATGCATTTTAAGTTATTAATTAGCCATATTATTATTTGTTACTAATTTTTCCTAGAAAATGCAATAGATGGAAACAATCGTTGGTTAAATTAGCGACAGAATGTCCATCTTACTACATGATTTTCTATTGGTGAATCTCTAGAAGGATAGAAATCTTTATTGACTTATTTGTTATATTACTACATAATGCTATAAGAAAACATATGAAATGTTGCTTCACGAGAAGGCATTTATTGAGTACATATTATCAGTATGCATCATAGGAAACTTCTGAAAAGTAAAATATTGAAAGTAATACACGAGATATGAAAATTTAAAGTCAATTCTCCATTAGCAGATTTGAAACTTGGCGCATTGTTGGCCTTGTATGTGGGTTGGAGTTCAAACATGCTCTTGAGACACTCAGAACTAACTTAACTTGTTTCTCAACTATTGATGATGGAGGCAGTAGCCGAGGATCTCCCACATTTGCTGGCAATAGATAATCAGCAGCCAATGTTGGCAAAGATGTAATGAGTTCTCCAGGATGCTTTCCCATTATCACTTCTAGTGCAACAACTCCAAAGCTATATACATCGCATTTCTCGGTGGCCACCATCGTATAAGCGAGCTCTACATCAAAAAAAAAAAACATGAGATAATAGCTAAAAAAAACTATATCAACCCCACAATATTCTAAGTTATATATATATATATATATATATATATATATATATATATATATATATATATATATATATATATATATATATATGATCGTGTAGGAACCTAAAAATTAGTAGAAACCGGGAAGACAAATCTAAACCTTTAATCTAAAATTTTGAATGGCTAAGATAAATCAAACAATTTTCTTTTTATTTTAATTCTGATAATGATATTTTTCATAAGTATTATTAAAAAATCAAAATTTCTATATAAGGGCAAAAGAATGGGATTAATATTGTCGAAGCTAAAAAATAAGATGGAAACCATGTGAGTTGAAATGGAGGCACACACCTCAATCGATGGCTTCTCTCTCTTCACCATATGGCTTTCTTTTAATGGTTAGTTTATTTTATTATTTTCATCAATCTTGTTTTTTGGTCATAATTATTTTTTCTTTGAAAAAAAATTCTAAAAAAACCAAAGTTCTTAAAATTTAATTCTCTATAAAATGAGCATAATCATGAAATTTTGAAATAAAAAATATATATATTTTTTTATATTTATAAAAAAACCCAGAAAATTTCTACAAAAATTATAAAATTTAGCAAATACTTCTATACACTATTTTAATGACTTTGTAAAAAAAAATTAAAAATAAATTTTTTTGATACCAAACTTGATTTTAAAAGATTAAAATTTTTAAAAAGTTGTTGAGCATAATATGATCCAAATAAAGATGATTCAAAATGTTTATGATTCAAAAATATTATGATTCAATATGTTTATAATCCTTAACTTCTTATGGTTTAAAAATATTTTGATTCATATATTTAATGATCCTTAATTATTATATTTTTTATGATTTAAAATTAAATAATTCAAAAAATATAATGATTCAAATGTTGTATCGAATAAAAACTTTATTTAATTCATATATTTTTATCCAAATTAATATAATACAAAAATGTATGATATATAATATTGTTATGATTCAAAATACTATGATTCAAAATAACTTGATTCAAAGTTCTATGATTCATAGATAATATGATTCAAAAGCAGTATGAACGGAAAATATTATGATCCTTAATATTTATCTTATTTAAAATTTTATAATTGTTAAACATTAAAATCTCAAATCGATATTTAGTTTAAAAAATAAAAAAAAAACAAAAATAAAGAAAAAACTCTAGTATCTTCAAGTATGTAGTAAAGATATTAAAAAGGAAAAAAAAATTAAAAAGAAAACGAAAATTTAAAAATTTTAAAAATTTAAAAAAATCGCTTAAACCGAGTATATATCTATTTACTTTTTTTTAACGAAAAAAGAAAAGAAAAAACCCATTTAAATGATGTTCGTCGCAAATGATTATTCCTTCGAGGTCGAAAAAGTAAATGGGTATGACCTTTGTGCCCTTGACAAAATGATTGGTGTAGAATACTTTTTGTGGTTCCTGCTAATTTTTGAGTTCCTACCGGATCCGGACTACATATATATATATATATATATATATATATATATATATATATATATATATAAATAGCTTTTGCGGTTCCTGCCAATTTTTGAGTTCCTACCGGTTCCGGACTATATATATATATATATATATATATATATATATATATATATATATATATATATATACACACACACACACACACTTGTATGCGTGTAACTTGAGAAGATGTAGAAGAAGTCACAAAAGTACATTACCTGGCGCGATATAACCATAGGTGCCTGCAACTGCGGTCCAGTTGGATGAGTCTAGCTTTAGAAGCTTGGATGTGCCAAAGTCAGAAATATGTGCCTCGTATTCAGAATCGAGTAGGATGTTGGCTATCGAAATGTCTCTATGAATGATAGCAGGTGAACAATCATGATGCATATATGCCAAACCATTAGCTACGGCCTTTACAATATTGATCCTTTTCAACCAATCCAATTCCTTTGCCAAGATATCACTACTTAATATTGATCCAATGCTTCCCTTTTCAAGATATTCGTAAATCAAAAATGAGTGGAGGGCATGGGAACAATATCCATAGAGTTTCACAATGTTTCGATGCCTTATGTTCGTTAATGCTCGTACCTCATTAAGGAAACCCATACGATCAACATTACCAGATGATGAGTGAAGTTTCTTGACAGCTACTACATTGTTAGGTTGTAGTTCGGCTTTGTATACAACACCATATCCTCCAGTCCCAATACAATATGTATCATCAAAGTCATTTGTTGCTTTCAAGACTTCATCATACACTACTCTTCCATCAAAACTTAATATTGAGAAGGAATCATCACCTTCTTCGTCCAATGGTTGCCGTGGAGATATTTTCTTTTGTCGTTGATAAGCTATGAGGCCATACATGAGTAAACCAAGTAAAAGTGCCCCAAAAAGAGGGAGCACAATTACAATGACGAGCTTTTGATGAAGGGGATCTGTTTTCTTCATCAAATTTTGACTTGGACAAAGCTTTAGCCCAGTAACATTTCCACACAAACCCGGATTGCCTTGAAATACTTGTATTGATGCATTGACAAAGATTGCATAAGGGGGAACTGGACCTGTGAGCTCATTGTAAGACAAATCGATATCAATCACACTAAGTAACTTTTCAAAAGCATCAGGAATAGACCCTGATAGTCTATTGTGAGAAAGATCAAGTGTTGTCAGTTGACTTACTTTACCTATCTCAGACGGAATTTTTTCACTGATTTTGTTATTACTAAGATTTAAGTAATACATGTGTGTCCAGTCACCAATATTTCTTGGTATCGACCCATTCAATCTATTTGTGGACAGATCGAGAGCAATAAGATCACGCAGTGATCCGAGCTCATTAGGTATAATACCTGAAAGTTGGTTATCAGCCAAGGACAAATACAACATACTTTTCATCTTCCCAATCTCCTTAGGGATCTCCCCAACAATAAGATTTGAAGTAAGATCAAGTCTGCGGAGTTGAGTTGAATTTCCAAACTCAGGTGGAATGCTACCACTGATGTTGTTATATGCTATCCTTAAGGCTGTCAAATTCTTGCATTTACTCCAGTTTTCAGAAAGCTGCCCGTGAAACTTATTGTGACTGAGATCAAGGTAAACTAAGCTTGGATAGACCCCAAAGCTTTTCGATATATCTCCGGTGAATTGATTGTCATCAAAGAAAGCTCTCATTAGGCTACGACAATTCCTTAAGCCTTTTGGAATAGGACCTGTGAGCTGATTACCATGTAGTGATAAATTTATAAGGTTTCCCCCATGGCACAAATCTTTGGGCAAATGACCGGACAATTGATTTGTGTCCATTTCTAGCTCAACCAAATCTAGACTTCCCAATCCTTGTGGTATATTCCCAGATAATTTATTGTCACGGATGGAAAGATATTGTAGGTTGCTTAGGTTCTCTAGTGATGAAGGAATTGGGCCACTAAGATTATTTTCACTCACCTCGAGATCAGTGAGAGACTTCAAATTCCCAAGTTCGACAGGAATATGACCAGAGAGTTGATTTTTGTACAAATGGAGGAGATTCAAAGATGTCAACTCACCCAATGATGAGGGGATTGAGCCAGACAGATTGTTTGAGAAGAGGCTTAGGCGCTCAAGTGAAACCATGCTTCCTATTTCTTGTGGGATTGAACCATTTAGATGGTTTTGAAAAAGGTACAAGATAGTTAGCTTTTTCAGATTTCCTATTTCTTTTGGGATGGGACCATGAAGTGAATTATGAGTGATATAGACCTCCACAAGATTGACAAGTTGTCCAAACTCTTGAGGAATTGGACCCGAAAGCTTATTGTTATCGAGATAAAGATAAGCCAAGTTTTTCAAATTTCCCAATGATGGAGGTAATTCTCCTTCAAGAGAATTATCATACAATGCAAGCATATAGAGAGAGGTTAATTGACCGATCTCTTGTGGTATTGAACCACTCAAGTTATTTTCATTCAGGTGGAGGGTTTCAAGGCTGGCTAACATCCCTATCCGATGTGGGATTGCTCCAGAAAATTTATTTGCTGAAAAGTCAAGATAGACAAGTTTGGACAGGAGCTGGATTTCTGGTGGGATCGGGCCAAAGAAGTTGTTTACACTGAGCTCAAATTTGGTAAGATTTTGTAACAAAGAGAATGGAAATTGGTGAAGTGTACCATTTATTCCTGATGATGTGAGGTTCAACGTTTGAATGCTCCCGTCAGCATTGCAAATTATTCCCAACCAAGAAGAGCATGGAGATGGAGCCGATGTACTGGAATTTATAGGGAGCCATGAAGAAACCAAGGAGTTGTTTGGGATTTGAAGGCTTGCTTTCCATTTAAGAAGAGCATTTGCTTCCTCCAAAGAAGCACAAGCAAAATTCGGTATGACTGAGAGTGGAATGATTAGTAGAGCTAAAGAAAAAAGGTAGAAGTTTGAAGAAGACATTGTTTGGTTTGGTGTGTTTTTATAAAATTGTGGTTTGTGTGAGATCTTATTTATACTTGAACTATCCTGTCTTTTTGTTTTGGTTCCCTGTTTTCAAAATATAAATTTCTGACTATGTCATATTATCCCACAAGAGTGTCTCTTACTTGAGAAATAAATTAGAGTGTTTCTTACTTGAGAAATCAATGCCATAATTTTCCACAGGGAGTGTTAAAGTGCATTACACGCTGAGAAGTCAATGCCATATTTTTCCGCAAGAAGTGTATTACACTTCCAAATTTATTCCTCATGACAATCTATGAAAAAACATCTTTAGTTCCAAACTTACAACAGTAAGGATTTAATGGTGCAATATAACTTTATTTGATTTATTAGGCAGATTTAATTTTGTTCCCGTTCATTTTAAAAGGAGTTTCAAATGTACGTCTCAAACAGAATAAGTGTGAAATTGTGTGTAATTGGTTCTGAAACAAATCTGTTATGAATCGTTATTGTTTCAAATTAAAGACCTTACTAATTTCTTTTAAAATAAATAAATAATAATAATAATAATAATAATAATAACAACAATAACAATAACAATCACAATCACAATCACAATCACAATCACAATAACAATAACAATAATAATAATAAATAGCTTGGTAAATCGCAAACTTACAAAATAACTAAGAGATAATCATGAAAAAGACCACATTCATTAAATAGCAATCACAGTGGCGACTTTTTTTAACAAAATTAAAAAATGACCACCATTTTCACCACTTCAAAATTTTCGAACTACAGTATTAGAGCTCAAAACAAGATTCACGGAGTTCAACTTCTAAGCTTTTTTGGTTTTCTGTTATTTCTTCGGATTCATCATTTTTGGTTTTCTGTTATTTCGGTTCCGGTCCGATTTAGGCATCGGTTAATGGCATTCAGTCCGGTTCTTGGTTCCCGGTTCACTTGGTTATTCCGGTTCGAGAACCGGTTACATCACCAGTTCTATAGTGGTAGCAGAAACTTGACCCTTGTTTGGTTAATGGAAACAATGTTGAAATACTTTGAATGGAAATCCATGGACTTTGGTTTGTGTACCTTTTTCATAAGGGGCTTACTATCTTGTATTCCTTTTTCCAATTGTCATGCATAGTTCCTATGGTAACTTGATCCTAGAACTCATTACATACACACTGCACCCATACTTGGTCAAAAACACATATCGAGGTGTGTATGCCATCTGAATGAGCATACAAAAGATGGAATTTTGATGTCAATAAGGGTTTTTGGATTTCGTTATAAAGAGCATATATTTGTAGTCTCACTATTCAAGATTATAACAGCCAGAATATATGCAACCTCAGTTGCAGAAAACAATTAAAGTGTAGACATTTGAAGAAATAGGTCATTGTTAAGCTTCCATGCTTTCTTTTTACTAGTTCTGGTTATGTTTCTCAATTTTAGAGCATGGTTAAAATTCAAACTGATTCATGCATTCTTGTTATGAGATGGGTGTAGTGACAAACATAGGGACAGTATCCATACAGTTTAACTAGGGTTCAATGCCTAGAGTTCCCTAACACTTGTACCTCATTAACAAAACCCATGTGATCAACATTCTCACATGATGAATGAAGTTTCTTGACAGCTACTATATTGTTATTTTGTAGTGTGACTTTGTACACATTACAATATCCTCTGGTCCAAACACATTAAGCATCATCAAAATCATTTATTGCCTTCATAATTGCATCAAAAACTACACTTCCATCTAAACTTGTTATGGAGAAATAATGGAGATGGTTTTTTTTCTAAGCAATGAAGAAATATGTGAAGAGACCAAGTGAAACTAGCCCATGAGAGAGAGCATAACTACAAGGATGAATCTATGATGAAACAGGTCGTTAATCTTCTTCATAATCTGATTTGCACAAAGTTTTAGTCCTGTAACATATCCGAAACATAGATTATGTTGTATGGACGCATTCACAATGTTAGGGCAAGGGGAACCGGCCATGTGAGCTTGTATAAGAAAGATCCAATTTTGCAAACTTCAAACTTCAAATGATATCTTTCCCGCGAGCAAATTCTTAGATAAATCAAGTGTCGTGTGTTAACCAGTCTGGTTTTGTAATTTCAACTCAACTACAAAGATTCGAAGGAGTTTAGGAAGATTAAAAGTATGTTGTATTTATAACCAACTTTCAGGTAATAACAAGCTCCGTGAAAACTCAAAGATTGCGAGAATTGGTAAACTAGGTTTGTGGAAATGTTCCATGACTAGACCTTTGTGCAGATCAAATGACCAAGAAGTCATGATTATTCTAGATAACAAGTGATAACAAGTTTTGATGGAAAAGTAGTCTATGGAAATCATGAAAACAACAAATGATTTTGAAAAACTTACTCTATTGGGACCGGAGGATACGGTATGTTACCACTGATGCTACACAGGACAACGAAGAGAAACAAGGGGTGAACCTTAGTCGCAGATGAACCCTAATCAGAGAACTCAGGGGAAGATAGAACCCTAATCGCAGAAACTCATCGGAAGATAACCCTAATGGAGTTTTGATTCGGTTTTGAGAGGATATCCGATGCAGGGTTTCAATTTGGTTTTGCTTACTGCGGAGAGCTTGTGAGTAGTTAGTGTTACTGTGGGTGGTCATAAATACATGGGGTCGAAGGAGATAAAAGGGAAACACTCGGGGCCAATGTGTCAAAAATCGGGAACTTTGACAAATATTTTAGAAAAATGTAAATTTTGTTTAGAGACAACTACAAAAATAGTTTTTGTGATATGCATTTTTTCTGAGATTTAGTCCAAAACTCGACTTTCTTGGCTTTGTAGTCCTTTTAAGCTAGTTTTGTTATGGATTTGATCTATAAGTTAAAAATAAAAGGTCTCTCTCTCTCTCTCTCTCTCTCTCTCTCTCTCTCTCTCTCTCTCTCTCTCTCTCTCTGCCCCCCCCTGTGTGTGTGAGTGTGTGTTTACTATGTGAAAAATATTCTCTCCAGGTAACCATCGTCTGTGAACACATCCACAACAATGCTTTTGAACTTGAAACCCACCTTCAATCTCTCACCCCTCGGATCAGTCAATGGAGCTGGAAGAGACAAGGTCATTGACGTGAACCAGTCTAGTCTTCAGTGAAGACTGAACCGATGTGGGAGGGTTAGTTTTCTTTATGACTTCACTCCAAATTACTGCTCTTTACCTTTTGTGCTTATTCTTGAATCTGGGAGTAGCGAGATTTCTAGACTGGTAGACTGATTCCCTGTTTCATTCATTGCACAGAGCTCAAAACAAGATTTACGGAGTTCAACTTTTAAGCTTTGATAGACCAAAAATGAAGGAAATTGAATCAGATTATTGTGATAACTATGCATTGATTGAGGTTGGATAAATTTACATGAGATGAGATGTGCATCGATTATACTAACTGTGCGTCGATTGATTAATGTCCGCCTTTGATGGAAGGTATTTGACATTTTAAATGTCTCTTTAGGGTAATCCATGGTTTCAGTATTTTTGCTTCAATCACAGGCTTGACTTTCTTTAACAGATCTTATTTGAACGAAAGAATCATCGATGCTGATCTCTTTCAAAGCATACACGTCTTCACTAAAAAACGGTGATGTAAAACACAATGATGTAAAACATCACAAACTCATGTCATTAATTTTGATTAAAATAAATTAAATCATATCAAGGATTGGAAGTGGATGTTGGAACCTGAAAGTGAACTTCTAGCAATTTCTAAACTTTGGAATTCCAAAGTCAGCCTCAGTTCCAAAATAAATTTTGGTACGGACTCAGTATGTAGTTTGACATGAAGCTTGTGTCTGGAGTAGTGATTGTTTTCAAGTGAAGATGTTCAGAACGAAGTGAAGGCATTCCGAAATAGAGTTTGTGTCCGAAATGAAGACTTTTGTCCAAATCAGTTTATCCGTCTGTATTTATTACTTTTGTCATTATGTTTGTTGTTACATGTCAAAGGACTTAGCCTCTTTTATTAAAACTTAGATAATCAGAGTGTTAGAAGTAACTCTATTCTCCGGTCCTATGTATGTTTATGGTTTATACGATGTAATCTATTCTCCTATTTAAAGGAGCTTTCAATGATAAATCAAACGACGGATTATTCAACCAAAGATAGCATTATTCTAGTTTACTTCACCTTTTATTCTCTTTCAAATCATTGACTCAAACATTTTTCATGTTCATTTATTGTCTTTACCTTGATCATTATCTTCACTCCTCGTTTATGTCTTGAATACTTTGTTGAATGCATTAACTCAGACTTGATTGGCCTTGCCAGACTTAACTGGAACATTCTCTAATTGAAGACATTGATCTTAAGCATTAACTCAATGTTTAAGTTTTCAAACCTTATCCCTGCACATCAGATCATCTTTAACTCACAATTGGTATCAAAGCTTGAGTGGTTGTCCTCTAAATCCATAAGATCATATTATTGTTGGTTTGAAATTACATTGGTATTTCAACCAATTCTGTATAAAACTTATTCTATATACCAGTTTTTCTTGAAGATATCTTAACTTTAATGGCTGCTTCTAATACTCAACAAATTTATTCAATCCAAATAGAAAATAGCGTGGTTTCCCTACTCGTGCCCCACTGCTAGTTGTTGAAGAATATGATCATTGGAAAGTCAGAATGGAAAGGTTTTTACTAGGTAAAGAGAAATGTGAAGCTATATAGAGATCCATCAAAGAAGGTCTTCATGTCCTAGTTAGAACAACAGTTAAAGATGTTGCTGCTCAATTCATAGGTTAAGATGAAAATCTTCCATCACCTTTTACTGCTAATGATATCGAAAAACCGCATGTTGATCAAGTTGCTTTTTCCGAAATGGTGTTTGGTATTCCACCATCTCTTTTTGGACACATTAAGTTGTGTAAATCTGCCAAAGAGATTTGGGATACTCTTCAAGATTTGTTTGAGGGTTCAGAAAACATGAAAGACAAGCGTCTAACCTCTGTTGTCAAAGAGTTTGACACCTTTACAACAACTCCTGGTGAATCAGTTGCCCCAGCCTCCAACCGGTACCAAATCATGGTCAACAACATGACTGCTCATGGGATTGTCCGAACTCCCTTGGAGTACAATCTCTTCATAAACAGCCTCGGTAAAAGATGGGGAAACATGAAATCTTATCTTCAAAGTAATGGATCTCTGAAGAAGATGAAGCTTTACCAACTATTTGATGAACTTCAAGGTCATGAATCAAATGTTGCTCAGCCCTTAAGAGAACTCTCTGAAGGTCCTCTTGCTCTCGACAGTTCCGTTGAACCACCTATTCTGAACCCATCCACCTCGGACCCCTTCAGATCCGTTGTTCCACCTGTTCAACCCTCCTTACTCATCTTGCCCACTTCTAACTATCTTTTTTATGGTAATCCTGATTCAAAAGCTATGGACTCCGAACTCCGTTTCCAATAGGAGTTTGCACTACTTTCCATGAAATACAAACGTCCGTGTAATCCCTCTCACAAACCATATCACAATCATTTTCATGCTCGTCACCAAAACAATCATCAACCATACTTTGCCCCGGAACCCCAATCCATTCCGAAAAATCCACAAACTTACAAATCAAACATCTCAAAACCAAATTCCAACCCGGAACTTCAAGAGATTCCGAAATCAGACAAACCAAAAATTATGTGTCATAAATGTGGTCATGCAAATCATTTTTCAAAAGATTGTCTGGCTGAAGCTCCACTGAAACCCAAAGTCAAGGATCCAGCTTACTATGCATAAAGAGCTTAGGAGATGGTTGAAAGTGAAAAGGCATTTGTTATAATTGTCTCAAGAGATATGTACATATATTGGTCATCCGGATATGATGATGATGTGGTTACTGCAAGAAACATGTGTCTAATGGCAAGGCTTAGTGGTTGAGAGGTATGGTGCCAGATCAGAGAGTAAGGGACCAAGGCTCGGTGGTTGAGAGGTGCTCATGGGAGAATACAATGGCTTGGAGTGAGTCATACCAGATTTCTACAACAACTCTAGGATGTACTTTCGTTGAGAGAGCAGAATATTCTTTACAGTGGGCACTATTTCAATGCCAAGGAAGTAAGTGACATTTCCAAGATCTTTGACTAGAAATTATGTACTGAGCTTCTGGATTACGTGACAAATAGTTGTAGGGTTGTTTCCAATGACAATAATATCGTCAACATAAACCAGAACATAAAGAAGAGTGCCTCGATATTGAAGAATAAAGAGTGAGGGTTCAGTTTTAGACCCCCCTGAAGCTAATTTGTTGTAGGGATGTGGATAACCGATGAAACCAGTCTCTTGGTGCCTGTTTGAGACCATAAAGAGACTTATGGAGCTTTCATACACGAGTGGATTTATTTGGATCAACAAAACCTTATGGTTGATGGATATACATTGTTTCATTTAGGTCACCGTGTAGAAAGGTGTTTTGAATATCCAATTGCCTAAGAGACCACCCATTCGTGATGGCAAGCGAGAGAATCACACAAATGGTGGTGGTCTTGACAACTAGACTAAAGGTCTCATGAAAATCAATACCCTATTGTTGTTTAAAATCATTGGCAACGAGACAGGCCTTATAGCCAGTGATTTTTCCAGCTTGGTCTCATTTTACTCAGTATACCCACTTGAAATCGATGATATTAGCATTTTGGAAGGTGGTACCAATGACCAGGTACCATTTTTGACAAGTGTGTGAACTCTTCAGCCATGGCAAGACGTCATTCAAGGAATTGATTGGCGGCTGTAAAGGAAGTGGGTTCAAGGATTGGTGTGGAGGATGAGACAGTGTGAAAGGTGACTAAAGTGTAATGTTGGTTGGGCTTAGGGTTTGGTCGAAGTTTAGGTGGCCAAGAGCAAGGAGGTTGTGGTGGAGGTGAGGGTGGTGGTGTTGGGTCAGAAGGGGTGTTGGGTGAGGTTAGAGGACTATTTTGGAGTAAGTGAGAAGGGATGAAGTTGGCTGGTAGGGAATTAGGTGGTGTAGGATGGTCAGGTGAAGGTGGGTAGTTGATTGGTGTTGGGTAAGTATAGGTATAAGGATTGGTGTTGTTAGTAATGGGTGGGTTAGGGGTAAGTTGAAAGGAAAAAACATCTTCGTTGAACCGTACATGACGAGCGATGTAGACTCGTTCGGTAGCGAGATCCAAGCAGCGGTATCCATGGTGAGTTGGACTGTAGCCCAAAAATACACACAGTTTGGACCTAAAATCTATTTTATGTTGATTGTACGATCGTAGATGTGGGAAACATTGACATCCAAAGGCACATAGAAAATTATAATCTGGTTGTTTCTTGAAAATAATCTCAAATGGTGATTTGCTAGAGGAGATACGAGATAGCATGCGGTTGATAAGATACATTGTTGTTTCAAATGCGAACTTGCAAAATCTTTGTGGAACATGAGAGTGAGCAAGGAGGTCAAGGCCTATTTCAATAATGTGTCGATGTCGATGTTCAACAATACTGTTTTGTTCACTTGTATGTGGACAAGAACATCGATGTATGATGCCAAGAGATGAAAAGAATGGGAAAGATTGCAGAATCCCCTCCCCCCCCCCCCCCCCCAATCAGTTCGAACAACTTTGAGTTTAGTGTCAAACTGCCGTTCAACCATTGTGACAAAAATTTTGAATGTGGAATACACATAAGATTTTTGAGCTAATGGAAAAATCCACATGTAGCAGGAATAATGATCAACACAAAGCAAGAAGAAACGAAATCCATAAAAAGATAGTTGTGGTACAGCCCCCCAAACATCACAATAAACTAAATCCAAAATATTATTGCTACGAAAATTTGAATCATGCAAAGCTAGTTTGGAAGATTTTTTCCAACTGACACAAACTACAAAAATATTGTTTTGTGGAAACTGGTAAAGAACAAGCATTAACTATGGAATTAAAACTCGTTGATGAGGGTGTCCAAGTCTCTAACGCCACACACCGGAAGATGCTCAAATGGCTGAAAAAGCAATCTTGGGAATGACTTTGAGTTGTGGCAAACAAATAGAATCAAATAGAATAGAGACCATGCTTACTTGGGCCTGTGAGGAGATTGGTTTTAGTAATTTCATCATTCACAACAAAAAAAAAAAAAAAGAATGAAATTCAAAGAAGATGTTATTTTCAAGACAAAAATTTTGAACATAAAGTAAATTCTTTTTTATTGTGGGAACATGAAAAATATTTGAGAAAGTAAAGATTATGTGTGATGAGGAGACCTTAGACGAGCCAATGTGATAGATTGGAAAAGCCTTATGATTACCTACATGAATAGAATTTGAACCATGGTATGCTTCGAGGTTGTCAAGATTTGATAGATTTGGTGCGACATGTGCTTTTACTCCTGTATTAGGAAACCAAGATGCAACTAAGGTCGAGCCAATGTTCAAGAAGGCTGTGAAGTTTGCTTGTGAGGGGGTAGAACGGTTGATTTGCTGATTTGGACGTTGTGAAGTAATGTGGCCGATGTCACATTGACTACAGTATCCATACAGTGTATTTTGAGTGGAAGCCCATGCAAATTATGAACGGTTATTGGGTTCTTGACTGTCATCATGACCACAGTTGGAGTTCCCGCGAGAGTTGCTCCAATTATTGTTGCATCGATTTCCTCGAAAGTTGTTTGAGGGGTAAGATGCATAGAAGGCTTGAGTTTGTTGTTGATGAGGAAAGATGTTTAAATGAAGACCAAGTTGTGAAGTAAGTTGTTGAAGAGAGGTTAGTTGTGATTGAATGGTGTTTGGCTGGGAAGAGGATGTGTTGGTTGAAGCTATGAAGGCATGAGGAGCTGCAATCCAAGTAGGGTTGTGTTTGTTGATCATGAACTCATGATCACATAGGAGACCATAAAGTTCCTTAAAAACAGTAAGAGGGGAACGAGACAGAATGTTGGATTTCAGACCATTATATTCATCTTTAAGTCCTGAGATGACTAGCATGACAAGATCTTTGTATTTTACCTGTTCTCCAATGTTGTCTAGGGTAGTGGCGTATTCCTGTCCACGTAAGATAGGTGATTGAAGTCTTATATCCTTTCATCTCAATCTTGAGAAGTTTAGTCTTCAACATATACTCTCATGATAAGTTACCGGGTGCATATGCTCGTTCTAATACAAGCCAAAGTTCTCTAGATGTTGTACCTTGAACGTGTAGAAATGAATCTCCAAAAATTGTTGAGATGATTACCCTACCGACGAGTGCATCATTGGAGATCCAATTAAGATAACTAGGTTTATCAATAGGAGCAACTTCAACAGTTGCTTGAATCTTTTGGGTTAGACACAGCACTGTGCCATCTACATAGCCGAAAAGGTTGTTGGTTATCAAGAATGGTTGGATCATTGCCTTCCAGTACCTTTAATTTGTGCGTGATAAGGTGAAGGCGAATTTGTGAGAACTATGGGCTATCTTTTATGTAGAGACGAAGGTTGTAACAATGGCCATGGTTGATTGGAGTAGCCGGCAGATAGATTTAGGGTAGCAGAGTTGGCGGCTGCTAGGGTTAGTGGTGATCAGACTCTGATACCATATAGAACCAAATATCAGAGTATAGATAAGGAATATTGTAATTGATTCTCTTTACGAAATACAATATATGGTACAATATATATAGAGTTTGATATTAAACTTAAGTACCCTAAACTTAGCCTAAATATAATTGATAGTCTAACATGTCATCATATTCCTGACTTGTTTTGTTGCATCTTGATTTGCCTATTTTCTTGGCGATTATGTAGAAAATTCTTTCACAAATATGATTTTTGTTTGCTTTCATGTTTTGCTTGTTTTGGTGTCATGTTGATTGGTGTTGTTGTGAACATGTATGCTTTCCATATCCTCTGTTGACGATTAATAGATAATCTGGTGTGTAGCATCATGTCATACTAGATAAGGCATTTATTGGGTACATATTATTAGAATGCATCAGAGAAAACTTCTTAAAAGGAAACATTGAAAGTAGTACAACAAATATGGAAATTTAAAGCTAATCCTCCATTAGCATATTTGAAACTTGGCGCATTGTTGGCCTTGCATGTGGGTTGGAGTTCAAACAAGCTCTTGAGAGACTCAGAACTAACTTTACTTGTTTCTCAACTTCTGATGATGGAGGTGGTATACGACGATCTCCCACATTTGCTAGCAATAGATAATCAATAGCCAATGTTCGTAAAGATGTTATGAGTTCTCCGGGATGCTTTCCGATCATCACTTCCAGTGCAACAACTCCAAAGCTATACACATCGCATTTCTCAGTGGCCACCATTGTATATGCAAGCTCTACATCGAGAAAGAACATCAGATAAAAAACTATAAAATCTATATTAACCCCACAACATTCTAGCATACATACCCATATATACATATACATAAATATGTCCATACATATACAGACGTGTATGTGTGAATAACTTAAGATGTAGAAGAAACATCACAAACTACGTTACCTGGCGAGATATAACCATAGGTGCCTGCAATCGCGGTCCAGTTGGATGAGTCTAGCTTTAAAAGCTTGGATGTGCCAAAATCAGAAATATGTGCCTCATAATCAGAATCAAGAAGGATGTTGGCTATGGAAATGTCTCTATGAATGATAGGAGGTGAACAATCATGATGCATATAAGCCAAGGCATTAGCTACACCCTTTACAATTTTGATCCGTTTCAACCAATCCAATTCTTTTGCCAAGATATCGCTACTTAAGATTGATCCGATGCTACCCTTTTCAAGGTATTCATAAATCAAAAATGAGTGGCGAGCATGGGAGCAATATCCGTAGAGTTTCACTATGTTTCGATGCCTTATGTTTGTTAATGCCCGTACCTCGTTAAGGAAACCCTTACGATCAACCTTACCTGATGATGAGTGAAGTTTCTTCACAGCTACTACGTTGTTAGGTTGTAGTTCGGCTTTGTATACAATACCATATCCTCCTGATCCAATACAATATGCATCGTCAAAGCCATTTGTTGCCTTCAAGACTTCATCATACACTACTCTTCCATCAAAACTTGAAATTGAGAAGAAATCATCACCTTCGTCATCTGATGGTTGCTCATGTGGCAAAATTTTCTTTTGTCGTTGATAAGCTATGAGGCCACACATGAGTAAACCTAGTAAAAGTGCCCCGAAAATAGGAAGCACAATTATAAGGACACGCTTATGATGAACGGGATCTTTTTTCTTCATCATATTTTGACTTGGACAAAGCTTTAATCCAGTAACATTTCCACACAAACTTGGATTGCCTTGAAATACTTGTATCGATGCATTAACAAAGATTGCATAAGGAGGAACTGGACCTGTAAGCTCGTTGTAAGAAAAATTGATATCAAATCCACTAAGGAACTTTTCA